AAAAACTGGTTCTATATTCTATAATTTCACATAAGAAACAATGATTACAGAATTATCAGAAACCTCTTCTGTCTATCTCAACAGTGACAGACAATTAAACTATCACTAGGCCCTTGGTAGTTACTATTAATAATCAAACATAGATAACTTCCAACAGCACATTAATGTAAAGGAGACTCAACTTAGGCACTATATGGTATTAATGATTACCGCTTAATACAAGCCTCAAAATATCAGGAGTCCTGTTCAGTACAACTTAAGACAGTACTAGTAAAACAAGTCAGTTAAATATCATTCACACTGCATGAATAATAACAGTCAAGAAAATACTACTCAAATCTAAGCTAGACAGCGTTTAGATTTACTTACATAGGCACGAAATATTGTGGTTCAAGAAACCACTAAACAAATCTCTACTTGTGTATGTGTACGGAATGCACAACACGAGAATACAACAATATATCGGTGGATCTAGACTATAGCAGATCTAGATCAGTAGACCAGGGATAGGCCTAGAACTAGTGCAATTATAAACATGTAAAATATGTGTTAGTAAGCGTACGCACTCAACAACAGGCACTCAGTCAGTCAAAATAAGGCATCACAATGATAAACAATGCAAAGCATCAATCACAATATAATTAACGTTACGTGAGTCATTGGAGTTGAAATTCAGAGTAGATCTTCTTCAAGTTCTAGATAGATGTAGAAACTAGCTAGTCGAAAACAGTGGTCGACGAGCTGGTTGTCGATCGCGTAGGATATGCAGACGATGATCGACGCTAGGTGAATACCACGATGATGAAGACGATGTTGAAGACAACGATGATGACAACAATGATGAAGACGACGCTGGTGAAGACAGCAATGATGAAGTCGACGATGAAGACGACGCTGGTGAAGACAGCGATGATGAAGACAACGGTGATGAAGACAACGATGATGAATCAGTTAACAGATGAATACAATGATGATGCAGTCAATGTCAATAGATCAACTTCAGTGACTTGCGATGCAGGTCGAAGAATCAAATGTCGAGACAATATATATGAAGTCGATGATAAAAGGTTGTCAAACAATAATGCAGGTGAGAAAAACGTTAGATCGTATTAAATGTTCTATTCTCACTGCTGGTGAATTAAAGTGTCGTCAATGTTGAACATCGAGAGAGTCAAAATATATCTTGCAAAACGTACAAGATGTAAATAGGTGAGCACGTCCACCGGGAATGTCCGGGGACGTAGCAGTTCAATCCTCGTTGGATACAATTTTCTAGGTACAATAATCGACACAATAGCAGCATGTGTGTATACCAATATTAAAACAGCTCACTGATTCCCGCACAGGAAAATCAGAAGAGCGCCAATCAACTACAGCGCGATTGGTTCAAAACAAGCGCACATGTATGTTAATAAGGCACGTGATCTAAATACTTATGAATAAATACGCGTACATCTACAGTATGTTAATTGGTCATGTGATCAAAATACTAATGAATAAACATCGTTATATAATAAATCGAGTTAAAACCAGTTCTGAGGACATGGCGTAATACCAAATCCTCGAACTCTCAATGACTTCTAAAGCGGCCATTTTGGATTAAAAACACAATATGTATACCAGTGAATTATAAATGAATGCACTGTAACATTTGTCGCTACATTAACCCCCCTACTAGACCCGAGCTTGCGTAAGCTCCGAGGGGCGAAAATACACAATTAAAAATATAAAGGAAACATATGTACAAAATACATTAATATACATGAAAATAACCACTATTTATGCGACACGTTCAATGTAGTGAACCTGAACGTACCTTTGCGGCCAGTGGACGTGGCGGCCTGAACGTGTGACACGCGCAGCAGGTTGCGATTTCACCAGAGCAGGAGCAGGCGTAGGAGCAGGTGCAGGAGCAGGCGCAGAGGTTGCGCGAAGTGCTGTGCGCAGAGGGGAGGAGACGGTAGGCTCTCCCTCCAGAGGCACATCAGCCGCGGTAGTCCTAGCCGAAACGCTTTCCAAAAATGCGGGTTTCAGTCGATCAATGCTTACAGAAACATGCTTGCCCTTTTGCTCAATAACGAAAAACTTCGGGTTTCGTTTGAGAACCTTGAACGGACCCAAATACGGAGGCTGTAATGGCTTACGGACAGCATCGATACGCAAGAAAATATGCGTACAAGTATCGAGAGACCTATGTACAAAACTGGTCTGTGGTGACCTACGTGTCGCTGTAGGCGCTAAAACAGACATATGGTCCTTCAAGCGTTGGACGTAGTCCGCGGGGTCAACAGTATCGTGTCGCGTAGGCACTATCAGCTGGCCTGGAAGACGCAACGCCGTCCCGTAGACTAGTTCGGCAGCGGAAGCTCCGATGTCTTCCTTAATAGCTGCGCGGATACCCAACATGACCAAAGGAAGGTATTCTTGCCAACGGTTCGGCTCGGGTTGAGATTTGAGAGAGGCTTTAAGTTGCCGATGGAACCGTTCCACCATACCGTTGGCCTGCGGGTGGTAGGCCGTGGTGGCTATGGTCCGACAACCTAGCAAATTAGCTAATGCAGTGAAAAGCGCAGATTGAAACTGACGACCTCGATCATGCGTAATCGTGGCTGGAGCACCAAAGCGAGCTACCCAGTTCTCCACTAGAGCTATGGCTACTGTCTCGGCAGTGGCATCCGCTATCGGGATCGCTTCGGGCCAACGGGTGAACCTGTCGATACAAGTCAGCAGATAAATGTGCCCTTTCGAGGGCGGTAGTGGCCCAACAAGATCAATATGAACGTGTGCAAAACGGGCATCGGGGTTGGCAAAAGTGCCAAGCGGTGAGTGTGTATGACGTTGGATTTTTGCGCGCTGACATGGGATGCAAATACGCGCCCATGCACAAATGTCCTTGTTCATACCCCGCCACACAAAACGGGCCGCTATAAGCTTTTGCGAAGCTTTAATGCCCGGATGCGCGAGATTGTGCAGATTGTCAAACAACGATCGACGGTGCGCTACCGATACATACGGCCGCGGATGCCCTGTGGACATGTCGCACCAAATGTGCGCGTCCCCTTCCGGAAGGAGGACCTTCTCAAATTTGAGCGAGGTTGACGTGTCTGAGCGCAGAGCAGCGAGCTCAACGTCATCGACTTGGTCGGTCGCGACTACACGCAGGTTAATCGAGTTCGGTAATTGCACTGAGTCAATCTCGGTGCGAGAAAGTGCATCAGCTACCTGATTATCAACGCCTCGAATATGGCGTATGTCGGAGGTAAACTGTGACACGTAATCGAGTTGCCGCGCTTCCCTAGGGGAATGTCGATCGGGCGATGTCTTGAGTGCGAAGGTAAGAGGCTTGTGGTCTGTAAAAACAAAAAAATCACGCCCCTCTAAGAAGTATCGGAAATGGCGTATTCCGAGGTAAATGGCTAGCAGCTCTCGACCAAAGGTACTATACCTAGTCTCGGGAGGCTTGAGGCGGCGAGAAAAGAACGCAAGCGGTCGCCACTCTCCTTCATGGAGTTGCTGTAACACACCACCTACGGCGAGATCGGAAGCGTCTACCGCGAGGCTTGTAGGTAGCTCAACAGACGGGTATGTAAGCATCGTGACGTTCGCGAGGTCCTCTTTGACAGCCGCGAAAGCAGAGTCGCACACAGGGGACCAATCTAACGCCTTTCGAGAGCGCTTAGGTTGCTTGCGCAGCAAATCAGTCAAGGCGGCCAGCGAGGATGCGCACTTAGGCATAAATCGGCGGTAAAAATTAACCATGCCTAAGAACCGGCGCAGCTGGCGTAGCGAGGTAGGGCGCGGAAATTTGCGAATTACCGCGACCTTGTCATCCATCGGGGAGACGCCCTGGGCAGTCACATGGTGCCCTAGAAAGTCTAGTGCTTCGACTCCAAACTGGCATTTGTCAGGATGCACTACTACTCCATAATCACGGAGGCTTGTGAACAGCTGGCGCAAATGAGTCTCGTGCTGTTCGGGATTCTCGCTGGCAACAAGAATATCATCAAGATACACGAATACAAATGGCAGGTCACGGACGACCCTATCAATAAACCTTTGAAAGGTTTGCGCCGCGTTGCGTAGTCCGAATGGCATGCGTCGGAAATGGAATAACCCAAAGGGGGTTGTCAGCGCGGTCTTCTTTACATCATCAGGGTGTACGGGGATCTGATGATATGCGCGCACTAAGTCAACTTTGGAAAATACGCACTTGTCTCGCAACTGTGCGGCAAAGTCGTGAAGGTGCGGAATGGGATAGCGATCCGGGACGGTCACGCGATTAAGAGCGCGGTAATCGCCACATGGTCGCCAACCGCCTGACTTCTTTGGCACCATGTGGAGCGGCGACGCCCATGAACTGTCTGAGGGCTCGACAATGCCCAAATCGAGTAACCGGCCAAACTCGTCTTTAGCGATCTTGTGTTTGTCCGGCGCTAAGCGTCGAGGTCGTGCCGAAACTGGTGGGCCGGTTGTGAGTATTCTATGTGTGACGTCATGTTTCAACGGACAGTTCTTAAACATGGGCCGAGTTACTTCCGTGAACTCGGCAAGTAAGCGTTTGTAGACAGAATCGGAGTCTACTTGCACTATTGTGAGATTCAGCGACGGTAAGTCGGAGGCGATGCCATGTACGGACAGACTAGTGGTGGCATCCCAAAGTCGGTTTGTGCGCAAATCCACCAGTAAGCCGTAATGCCTCAAAAAATCTGCGCCGAGGATAGGCTGCGAAACATCGGCCAATATGAATGACCACTTAAACGAACGCCGCAGCCCAATACACACTGTGAGCTCACGCTGCCCATATGTGCATATGCGCGTCTTGTTTGCAGCCTGCAAAACGAGTGGCATAAGGTGCCTCTTATCAGCGGTGTTGGCAGGAATTACGCTTACCGCGGCACCCGTATCGACCAAAAATCGTGTCCCAGAATCTCTATCTGTGACATAGAACAAGCGACCGTCACGAAGAGGGCCAGTGAGGCTTGTCGCGCCCACCTCCTGGCCTAGTTGTTTTCCGCCGGCTTGCTATATGTGCATGGTGGGCGGCACTGGTGAGCCTTCTCACCCCACTTCTCATGATACCAGCACAATTCTGAAGTGCTCGCTGATTTACTACCGGATGAGTCGCGCTTACGGTTACTGCTCATGCTGCGGCTTCGGCTTCGGCTCCGCATGCGACCGACAGTGGCAGTCAGCTCCTTCACCATTTTCGTGAGCTCAAGGACTTGGTGTTGAAGATCGGGGTTAGAGTTAGATACAGCTGCGACTGTGGCGCTGGGTGCTGAAATTCCAGTGACGGGAATTGACGCTTCTAGAATTTTATCGGCTAAATTGGCCAACTCAGAAAGCGGAAGCGCGTCGCTTGATGATGCCAGAATGAGGCGGACATTCTGTGGCAGGCGCTGCAGAAACAATTCCCGCAAAATCCCCTTCTCTAGCTGCTGCATGCCTAGCAGCTGCTGCATGCGCCTCAGAAGTTGACTAGGTTTTCGGTCGCCTAATTCCTCTTCATTCAATAACATCTGAACTCGGCGCTGTTCAGAGGAGGTCATTCGCGATATGAGCAGGGCACGCAGCTCAGTATAAGGCTTGATCGGGGGTGGACTAATCAATATGTCGCGGATCTCGAGCGCAACATCCGACGGCAATGTCGCTATAATATAGGCGTATTTGGTCTGCTCGCTGGTTATGCCTCTAGTCTCAAACTGAGCAGAGGCTTGGGCAAACCATACCTCCGGGTCTCCCCTCCAAAAAGGGGGGAGCTTAATGCTGACTGCGCCGACGCCTTGGGTGGCCTGTGCGCTAGCCCCGGCCGTGGCTCCCGCCTGCTCATGCTCCGGCGGAGGGCCCTCCTCGGCAGTATTTGGTGCGGGCATGACGACGCGCCACGTCCACTGTTCACAAATCTAAATTCAGTGTATCAGTAAGAAATGTGATTACCTAATGGTAAAAAAAAAATATTAATAAGCAAAGGTAATCTAACTAAATGTTTCTTATCTCAGGGGGATCACGTCGGGGTCACCAATTTAGAAAACTACATGAGGTATGGACTATGTTGCGTGTTAACTAGTAATCCCACATAATTCCTTTTTTAATTAAACTACTAAAAAGCCGTATCCCTCTAGACAATAAAACACTTAATAAATGATCACATCCAGACAAATTGCTTATGGTTAAAAACTGGTTCTATATTCTATAATTTCACATAAGAAACAATGATTACAGAATTATCAGAAACCTCTTCTGTCTATCTCAACAGTGACAGACAATTAAACTATCACTAGGCCCTTGGTAGTTACTATTAATAATCAAACATAGATAACTTCCAACAGCACATTAGTGTAAAGGAGACTCAACTTAGGCACTATATGGTATTAATGATTACCGCTTAATACAAGCCTCAAAATATCAGGAGTCCTGTTCAGTACAACTTAAGACAGTACTAGTAAAACAAGTCAGTTAAATATCATTCACACTGCATGAATAATAACAGTCAAGAAAATACTACTCAAATCTAAGCTAGACAGCGTTTAGATTTACTTACATAGGCACGAAATATTGTGGTTCAAGAAACCACTAAACAAATCTCTACTTGTGTATGTGTACGGAATGCACAACACGAGAATACAACAATATATCGGTGGATCTAGACTATAGCAGATCTAGATCAGTAGACCAGGGATAGGCCTAGAACTAGTGCAATTATAAACATGTAAAATATGTGTTAGTAAGCGTACGCACTCAACAACAGGCACTCAGTCAGTCAAAATAAGGCATCACAATGATAAACAATGCAAAGCATCAATCACAATATAATTAACGTTACGTGAGTCATTGGAGTTGAAATTCAGAGTAGATCTTCTTCAAGTTCTAGATAGATGTAGAAACTAGCTAGTCGAAAACAGTGGTCGACGAGCTGGTTGTCGATCGCGTAGGATATGCAGACGATGATCGACGCTAGGTGAATACCACGATGATGAAGACGATGTTGAAGACAACGATGATGACAACAATGATGAAGACGACGCTGGTGAAGACAGCAATGATGAAGTCGACGATGAAGACGACGCTGGTGAAGACAGCGATGATGAAGACAACGGTGATGAAGACAACGATGATGAATCAGTTAACAGATGAATACAATGATGATGCAGTCAATGTCAATAGATCAACTTCAGTGACTTGCGATGCAGGTCGAAGAATCAAATGTCGAGACAATATATATGAAGTCGATGATAAAAGGTTGTCAAACAATAATGCAGGTGAGAAAAACGTTAGATCGTATTAAATGTTCTATTCTCACTGCTGGTGAATTAAAGTGTCGTCAATGTTGAACATCGAGAGAGTCAAAATATATCTTGCAAAACGTACAAGATGTAAATAGGTGAGCACGTCCACCGGGAATGTCCGGGGACGTAGCAGTTCAATCCTCGTTGGATACAATTTTCTAGGTACAATAATCGACACAATAGCAGCATGTGTGTATACCAATATTAAAACAGCTCACTGATTCCCGCACAGGAAAATCAGAAGAGCGCCAATCAACTACAGCGCGATTGGTTCAAAACAAGCGCACATGTATGTTAATAAGGCACGTGATCTAAATACTTATGAATAAATACGCGTACATCTACAGTATGTTAATTGGTCATGTGATCAAAATACTAATGAATAAACATCGTTATATAATAAATCGAGTTAAAACCAGTTCTGAGGACATGGCGTAATACCAAATCCTCGAACTCTCAATGACTTCTAAAGCGGCCATTTTGGATTAAAAACACAATATGTATACCAGTGAATTATAAATGAATGCACTGTAACATTTGTCGCTACATTAACCCCCCTACTAGACCCGAGCTTGCGTAAGCTCCGAGGGGCGAAAATACACAATTAAAAATATAAAGGAAACATATGTACAAAATACATTAATATACATGAAAATAACCACTATTTATGCGACACGTTCAATGTAGTGAACCTGAACGTACCTTTGCGGCCAGTGGACGTGGCGGCCTGAACGTGTGACACGCGCAGCAGGTTGCGATTTCACCAGAGCAGGAGCAGGCGTAGGAGCAGGTGCAGGAGCAGGCGCAGAGGTTGCGCGAAGTGCTGTGCGCAGAGGGGAGGAGACGGTAGGCTCTCCCTCCAGAGGCACATCAGCCGCGGTAGTCCTAGCCGAAACGCTTTCCAAAAATGCGGGTTTCAGTCGATCAATGCTTACAGAAACATGCTTGCCCTTTTGCTCAATAACGAAAAACTTCGGGTTTCGTTTGAGAACCTTGAACGGACCCAAATACGGAGGCTGTAATGGCTTACGGACAGCATCGATACGCAAGAAAATATGCGTACAAGTATCGAGAGACCTATGTACAAAACTGGTCTGTGGTGACCTACGTGTCGCTGTAGGCGCTAAAACAGACATATGGTCCTTCAAGCGTTGGACGTAGTCCGCGGGGTCAACAGTATCGTGTCGCGTAGGCACTATCAGCTGGCCTGGAAGACGCAACGCCGTCCCGTAGACTAGTTCGGCAGCGGAAGCTCCGATGTCTTCCTTAATAGCTGCGCGGATACCCAACATGACCAAAGGAAGGTATTCTTGCCAACGGTTCGGCTCGGGTTGAGATTTGAGAGAGGCTTTAAGTTGCCGATGGAACCGTTCCACCATACCGTTGGCCTGCGGGTGGTAGGCCGTGGTGGCTATGGTCCGACAACCTAGCAAATTAGCTAATGCAGTGAAAAGCGCAGATTGAAACTGACGACCTCGATCATGCGTAATCGTGGCTGGAGCACCAAAGCGAGCTACCCAGTTCTCCACTAGAGCTATGGCTACTGTCTCGGCAGTGGCATCCGCTATCGGGATCGCTTCGGGCCAACGGGTGAACCTGTCGATACAAGTCAGCAGATAAATGTGCCCTTTCGAGGGCGGTAGTGGCCCAACAAGATCAATATGAACGTGTGCAAAACGGGCATCGGGGTTGGCAAAAGTGCCAAGCGGTGAGTGTGTATGACGTTGGATTTTTGCGCGCTGACATGGGATGCAAATACGCGCCCATGCACAAATGTCCTTGTTCATACCCCGCCACACAAAACGGGCCGCTATAAGCTTTTGCGAAGCTTTAATGCCCGGATGCGCGAGATTGTGCAGATTGTCAAACAACGATCGACGGTGCGCTACCGATACATACGGCCGCGGATGCCCTGTGGACATGTCGCACCAAATGTGCGCGTCCCCTTCCGGAAGGAGGACCTTCTCAAATTTGAGCGAGGTTGACGTGTCTGAGCGCAGAGCAGCGAGCTCAACGTCATCGACTTGGTCGGTCGCGACTACACGCAGGTTAATCGAGTTCGGTAATTGCACTGAGTCAATCTCGGTGCGAGAAAGTGCATCAGCTACCTGATTATCAACGCCTCGAATATGGCGTATGTCGGAGGTAAACTGTGACACGTAATCGAGTTGCCGCGCTTCCCTAGGGGAATGTCGATCGGGCGATGTCTTGAGTGCGAAGGTAAGAGGCTTGTGGTCTGTAAAAACAAAAAAATCACGCCCCTCTAAGAAGTATCGGAAATGGCGTATTCCGAGGTAAATGGCTAGCAGCTCTCGACCAAAGGTACTATACCTAGTCTCGGGAGGCTTGAGGCGGCGAGAAAAGAACGCAAGCGGTCGCCACTCTCCTTCATGGAGTTGCTGTAACACACCACCTACGGCGAGATCGGAAGCGTCTACCGCGAGGCTTGTAGGTAGCTCAACAGACGGGTATGTAAGCATCGTGACGTTCGCGAGGTCCTCTTTGACAGCCGCGAAAGCAGAGTCGCACACAGGGGACCAATCTAACGCCTTTCGAGAGCGCTTAGGTTGCTTGCGCAGCAAATCAGTCAAGGCGGCCAGCGAGGATGCGCACTTAGGCATAAATCGGCGGTAAAAATTAACCATGCCTAAGAACCGGCGCAGCTGGCGTAGCGAGGTAGGGCGCGGAAATTTGCGAATTACCGCGACCTTGTCATCCATCGGGGAGACGCCCTGGGCAGTCACATGGTGCCCTAGAAAGTCTAGTGCTTCGACTCCAAACTGGCATTTGTCAGGATGCACTACTACTCCATAATCACGGAGGCTTGTGAACAGCTGGCGCAAATGAGTCTCGTGCTGTTCGGGATTCTCGCTGGCAACAAGAATATCATCAAGATACACGAATACAAATGGCAGGTCACGGACGACCCTATCAATAAACCTTTGAAAGGTTTGCGCCGCGTTGCGTAGTCCGAATGGCATGCGTCGGAAATGGAATAACCCAAAGGGGGTTGTCAGCGCGGTCTTCTTTACATCATCAGGGTGTACGGGGATCTGATGATATGCGCGCACTAAGTCAACTTTGGAAAATACGCACTTGTCTCGCAACTGTGCGGCAAAGTCGTGAAGGTGCGGAATGGGATAGCGATCCGGGACGGTCACGCGATTAAGAGCGCGGTAATCGCCACATGGTCGCCAACCGCCTGACTTCTTTGGCACCATGTGGAGCGGCGACGCCCATGAACTGTCTGAGGGCTCGACAATGCCCAAATCGAGTAACCGGCCAAACTCGTCTTTAGCGATCTTGTGTTTGTCCGGCGCTAAGCGTCGAGGTCGTGCCGAAACTGGTGGGCCGGTTGTGAGTATTCTATGTGTGACGTCATGTTTCAACGGACAGTTCTTAAACATGGGCCGAGTTACTTCCGTGAACTCGGCAAGTAAGCGTTTGTAGACAGAATCGGAGTCTACTTGCACTATTGTGAGATTCAGCGACGGTAAGTCGGAGGCGATGCCATGTACGGACAGACTAGTGGTGGCATCCCAAAGTCGGTTTGTGCGCAAATCCACCAGTAAGCCGTAATGCCTCAA